ATTGAAATAGGGCAATTCCAAGCGAAGGACACGTGGTCTTAAATGGGAAAACATAACGACTTTCGAAAATTCTCTTTAAAATGCGTTCAACGTTTACGCATAAGAAGACACACGGAATATGGATACAACTCAAACAAAGGACCTACTAATTCCAAGAGAATGACACGTGGTCTKAAATAGGAAATCATAACAACTTCCAAAAACTAAATAGGGCAATTGATCCATTGAGATTACGCTCGTGTAGTAAATAAAAACAACATTTTATGTCTGCAGTCCGACAGTGTTATCTTGCGTGCAGCCAAAATCTAACTGACCTCTTACCACTGCTCAACGCATGGCTATACTTTTGCGCGTTTTTCGATTCCCCGCTTGGTGTCAAGCTTTAACTGCATATCAGCCATGACGCGTGCAAACATCCATTACTGGGTTTTGTAAATAATTAGTTTGTAACTTAACACTTGAAATGATTTGTTTCTTAGCGTGTTTATATTTTTAACAGCCTGTGATGTCTAGCCGAAAGGTCTAAGGTCGTTCGAAGGGCTTATGTTGTGCTATGTAATTCCTCGTAACTACTTGAAGCTGTTGCTAAAACTGACGATTCCTTAACAGTACAATTTTAAAATGAAACTTGTGCTGCAAAAGAATAATGCTTTTGGGACCTCAGTTGTTGTAGTTGCAGAGCGAGTAAAACGTGCACAGCGCTAGTGGCAAGAACCAAGTCTAAAGCAAAATAATCTTGCAATTTCAATGTTAACTTTTTCAACGTTCACTATTCACGATTAAAAGTCCTCGTTGGTAAAGTATTTAAAAGATTAAAGAATATTTTTCCTTAACCCTTAATTCCGGGTCAACAGGCCCTTGAGGCATGTCCATCATGCATTACACGTGACATCATTCAAAACAGGAAACATTTTGTGGTTCAACTGTTAAAGTCCAGAAGCAAATTACCCGGTCATTTTCTTGGACTGGTTTAATATTTTTAGATTCGTATTCTTGGTGTCAAATAACAAAGCATTGCTCAGTTTCTCTTGTTCACTCCACCACAACACGGCGGATATAGCTATTTTCTCTTAAGTCTCGAGGGATTGAATTGGATTCCAATAAGATGTGATTTGTACGCTCCKGGTATTTGGGCTCCTGGGCATATAAAGTCTTAAGATTTTAGTTCATTGACCAAAGTTTACAGGCCATACACGATTACATCTCCCTAAATGACCTGGCTACTGTCTAATGTGGAGTCTACTTTGTGAGTATTTCTGGACTAAGTACAATTTAAGTATGCACCTATGTATCGCTACCTTTATCCGAGGGCGGGTTCAGGTAGTCTGCGTTCAGCTAACGCAGGCTAGGGTCCAGGGTGTTTAAACTATAGAGAGTATTCTACATACTAGATCACGAATCACGTTTTCACGTCGAACTTCAACCTTGAAAAAACCTCAGGGCTGTTYAAAGTCATGGTTTGCCAACTAACTCACAAATGGAACCCTAAAACGACCTCGGGGTTGATCTAATTCAGGGTCAGCTCACAAATCAAGCCCTGCAGAAAACCTGACTTTGATCAGTCCATACACCTAAATCCAAAACTGCGAACGGCCGCCTGAAAACAAGGCATCCAGGGCCAAATTTACAAATTTACAGTTTTTTCTTCTAATTTGATGCTGCAAAATTATCGCGTTCCTGAATGTGAGAAGAAAGGGAAGACAGAACAAGTGAACAAGTGTATAACAAGTGTGTAATACCATACTATTTCTTCGCATTTGGCCGTGGATGCCTGGTTCTCATACAACACACTCAGACGTGCGCCATTTTGGACTTAGGTGTATGGACTGATCTAAGTCAGGAGACGGCTACTCACAGATTAAACCCTGAAACAACACGGGCTGATCAAAGTCAGGGCAAGGATAACCGCACTACAGCAACCAACGAGGGAACGAAAGTCACCATATTTGTAGTTAGAAAATATTCCAAGACATTTTTTCACTAACCTTCAAAATTTGTTGTCGTGAAGGGTGCCATTATCCAGGAGGGGTCATTAACGTCATGTTGGACCATTCCAAACTTATATTGGAGAGAGTAACTTTTTTGTTAAGATGAACTGGTTTCCGCGTCAATACCACATAAATTATTTTCTGTCGCTAAAGAAAAAATAAAAATTAAACAGGAAAAATTAAAATAAAAATAAAAATTAAACACGACTCGAAAGTCATCGGAATAGTACAATTGACTGCTATTGAAAAGAAGTTCTAACTAAATATAATATATAATATAATCGTTTTATATTGCTTTAATTAAACGYGCACTTGTGTTGTGTTCTCTCATAAAGCAAGCGCTCCCAACCAATCAGAACGCGAGGTTTTTAACACACATTTTATATAATTTATTCTTTCTAACGATTTTGCGCGAGCATGTCTCTGTCCGGCCTGATATAAACACGATAGCCAGCCATTCAGCGCGCGCGTTTATCCCAAATATTTTATGGAATATACATATTTCTAAATCCGTAATTATACTTTTGTGACACCAAGATAATGTGAAATATGTAGCCTTAGGTTTTAATCATTTTTGTTATATAGTTGGGATAGTACGTGCGCTCTGATTGGTCGAAAACTGTGCTTTATTAATATTGAGCAGTGCTGACGCCATCCGCGCGCGCGAAGTGCTGCTAGATCCTGCGGCCGTCTTTCTTTTTGCGTAAATAAATTCAATGCCGAAATAAAATTARYAGCTATATAATAAAACGTAAAAGGAAGCGCTTAAGCACTCTTTGCATTCATTGTCAGTGCTATTATTATACACATTTTCACACGTACAGTCATGACCCAGACAACTAGAAGCTGTGATTTGATTATCAAAATCATAGGTTATTGGCTTCCTTCAATTAAATTTTCATCGGTCTGAGTGAGTAATTTTAAACTTCAGCTATTGACAGAAGCCAAAAAGCCAGGCGTCTTGGTTCGAATTGCTCTATTTCACTATGACGTCACATCAAAACAATCTATTGTTTAAACGCAAAGGATCATGGTCGTCGGAGGGGGGTCAAATCAACCCAAATTCAGCGAAAATTGTTCTAAAACCCGTATCAATCCACGGAGAGAAGTAGAATAGCCAGCAAACGCTCAGAATATTTTTT